TCTATCTATCTAGGCAAAACAGTGATACAAAGTATGACAAAGCCCTGCATTCCCTGGAGTTTAAAGGGATCACTATTCAGAAGTTGTTCTCAGGGGTTCTTGAAATGCATTAATAGAATGCAGGATCATAGCTTACAGACATGTGTCCAACGTTGTGTGCACTGACTAGCCTGTACTGACTGATATCTGTACTAATGTCTCCAAGGATGGGGTCTTTATGCATACAGTTACGTACATGAAGGCAAAGCTGCCACCTGGATCTGGGCTCCCAGGTGCCAGAGAACGTGCTGCTGACTGGCAGTGTGGCTACCTGGGATTGCCCTATTCATGCATTTGTAGAATACGTAAGGCTTTCAAACTAGGGCTTATAATCTGATCCCAATATGTGAATATGACACTACTGGAGTCAAACTTGGGTGGATTTAAATACAATTTAGATCACTAGTAGGACTAGATGTAAATCATGGATTTCTACATAATTCGCACACATGCCTACCTTATCTGTAGGAAGAGGAACTTTATTAAAATATTCCCAAACTGGGTCTCTTTTACAGCCTGCTGCCATTGTAGGTTTTCTCCTCCAGGGAAAATATATGACAAACCTCAGGCTATACACAAAAAGATCCAAAGACTTGGGGAGTATTCTGCTCAAAGGGCCCCTCCAGCTTCAAACTTAGCTTCTTGTACAGATCTATTCCACTCCCAGCAATCTTCTATTCATTGAATTTTTTGAAACTTAGCACTTGATTTGCAAAGGAACAATGGGATTAAGGTCTTTTTGTCAACTCTTTATGTTTATAACATGTTTGTGTTCAGAAAAGGTATGTGATCTCTGCAGACACAAATTTGCAGTTCACAAAATTTCACAATTTTGAGAACTGTAATACCAAGCATCTCGTATAATATCTTCTAGATGGAAAAACTGCCCAATAATCTTACTGTAACAAAGGAGGCCTTGGGCGGAAGAAAGAAAGGCAAGGGTTAAAGGCTGAGAGATAGCGGGTTGGCACAGGTGGCCTCCAAGGCTCTGCACAGAGAAAGGGAATTGCTGCAGGCCTGGAGTTTGCCAAGGACAGACACAACCTCTGTCTGAGAAGTGCTGAATTTAGCACCTAGGTGAGAGATTCGCTTTAATGTCATCTCTGGAAACAAAGAAGCCTGATTGCGCAGGGAGGGGATAAAAAGGAGGGCTAGTGGTGGTGAAACAGTGTGCCTTTTGGAGATGGGAGAGGTCTGCCAGTTGACGCCCACCAAAGCCCATGGAACTGGAGCCCACTACTCTTGAGAAGACTGATAAGTACTAGGGAAGTTGTTAGGATTTTAGATTAGCTAGCTGTTCTTGTTTTCGTGCCTGGGGTGGCCAAATGATATAAGGGGTGTGACTACATGCTATTGTAATGTTTAACTGGAAGCTGCTATCCACTTTCCCCTTTCCCATACCCTTTCCCTTACCTTTGTGCAAATTGTAACTGTGTGCATCATGGTGTGAATGTACTGTTGGATGTTGTGCTATAAAACTCCTTTTCACCAAGTCTTGGGTCAATGTGTGCTAATCCAGTGCGGTTTGGCTTCTTGGGAAGCGAACTTGGGCTATTTGGGCCCTAGTAGTTGCTGGGGGGGGGGGGGCGGCCGCCAGCGGCACGGGGGGGGGGGGGGGTCTTTGCCCAGCTTACAGAAACCTCTGGAAGAGCATGACCTTGTGAATGCATTAATGGAGTTCATTTACCAAAAAACTGAAACTTTCCATGAATATACAGCCTCATGTAAAACAATCCTTATTTCATGATGAATAAGCTTTGGACTATAATGTATCTTAAACGGAAAACTATCTTTGGAGAGATTTTTCCTCAAAAAGCATTTTATTTAAAAAAATCCAATTTAAATTAAAAATTGATTTTTAAAAAAATTTTAAGCATTAGTTTTTATCCACCCTGAGTCAAACTGTTACTGTGTCCTTCATTTTTGCTTGATGTGAGTAGGGAACTGTTGTTCCATTTCTCAGAAATCACCAGCACCTCTCACTGAGAGTCATGGTACATGCAGCAGTTTCTGTCTCTTAAGGCCAACACATTACTCTAATCTCATAGCTTTACTGTAACTGCAGATTATGTCAATTTCAATTAGCACCAGCATGCTACAGGATGAAATCATTAAACCTCCAGTATTCCTTGGGGGGGGGGGGTTAAAAGTGAGACATTGTCTCCATTGATACACTATGTATGGACTTAAAATTTACTCACTGACTTGAAAACCTGCATTTATTGAAACCTTGAAAACCTGCAAGTCTGTTATTTATGGGACTGCAGCCACAAGTCTACCTGCCATGCAACAAATTACATGTACACCTCCTTTTTTGCAGAATTCAAGATTTATACTCCAGATATTTAGATGGAACACAACAAACATGTTCAGTCTGACAGAAAAATCACCATACTTTTTGTTGATCATTTACCAATATTTTATTATAATGAAGTGTGCTATTGATTATAAGTAGTATCCTTAATTTGTGCTGATGGAAATCTCCAACTACTTGGAGTTCTGTATTCCCCCCTAAGCTTCCACATGCCAGAGCGCTAAACCTTCAAGTATTAAAGACAGAGAAATACTACTTATTTCAAAAACTACAGTCTGGAAAAAAAAACTTGTTATTTTTACATGCCGGTGTAAGCTTTCATGGACTCTGTCCACTTCACCAGATACATCAAGTATCAACCTCAGATTGACTAGTCTATACGCATAAATTTGTTGGGCAGGGGATGGATTTATGGACTTGTAAACAGGATACATGGATCACGTACCCAATGAAGTGGACAGTGTTCATGAAAGCTTATGCCAGAATAAGATTCCACAAGACACATTGTTCTCATTTTTAAACATTAATCTGACAACTCTAGTCCCACTTTACCAGAGGTTGAGAAGAATGGCTACAATTATTATCAAGGCCTGCTTCACAGAATTTCTATAGAATGCCTATGGACTTGGTAGATGAGGGCTTGATTATGATCTGTAATAAGATTATAGAATAAAATACAGTGTCAAAGACATGCTCTTTATCAGCTTTCACCAACCTGGTATCATCCATACGTGACAGTCTGCCACCCCTATGATCCCCAAGCCAGTATGGCTAATGGATTTGTCATCAAAGTTATAAATGTTTCCTATTATTATTAATTTCATTTCTATACCACCCACAGCCAAAGCTCTCTGGGTGGTTTACACAGTCTATAAAACAAATGATAAAGGAGGAATAGAGAAGACAGGCATCCTACCTTGCCTCTACTTCTTGCTTAACCCCTGCATCTGTTGTTTGGACCACAAAATGGACATTCTAGTCCTCATTCTTCACAGTGATCCAGTCCCACAGAATCCTTGAAGAGTTTTGGTTAAAATAGAAATGGGATTAATTTAAACAAGCCGTGCAGTCTATGCATGTTTAATCTTCAGAAGCTTGTGTTGCTTCACCCAGTTATCACAAATAAATGATGGCTCTTTCTCGCAAGCCTAGGCAGTGCAATGTTGATAAAAAGATTTCATCTTTCTTTTACAGTCCCCCATCCCTCCTGTTGATTTACAGGGAAGTAGTGTGCACTGTAAACTGGAAGCAGTGTGACTTTTTCCCCTCACTTCTGGGAACCCACAATTACCAAACCAATAGCCTGGAAAAAAAATTAGATCTCCCCTGCTGCAGTCCAAAAGCATTGACCAAAGGTGTGGTTTTAGGTGTAGTGAAAGCCCATGTACTGGGTAGAATGTTGGACTGGGATCAGGGAGATCTGGATTCTAATCCCCACATGGCTACAAAGCTCACTGAGTGCCTTTGGACCAGTCACTAACTCTAAGCCTAACATACCTCACAGGGCTGCTGTACAGAAGAATTATGTCAACCGCCTTGAGTTCCTTGAAGAGAAAAGGTGGGATATAGATTATAATAATAAATAAATAAGTACAGCCAGCATAATACAAATCCTATAAAGTGCAAGTCACATGCAGTCTAAGAGTGAAGAAACTGATCAGACTGTTTTCTCCAAATTCTCCCACTAGGTTGGTTCTAGACTTAGGATACAATCCCACACATATTTACTTGAGAGTAAGTAATTATGTAAACCACCTTGCGTTCCTTGAAAGGAAAAAGGCATGATAGAAATCTAATAAAGCTCCATGAGAATTACTTCCAAATAGGATTTAGGATCTTACTGCAAATCATGCTTAGTATGGACCCCATGAAATCAATCAGACTTAAGCCAAGTCTAACTTGCCCTACTGATTTCAGTGGCTGGCTTACATTATCTGAACATGATCCAACCTACTGTGGTGCCAAACGCAAGCTAGGGCAAGGGTTTGAGTTTTGTACAGACATAATCTACCAACCGTAATACCTATGGCTCATCTTGATCCACTCTCTGTCATTGGAACTATTCACAAGAGCAAATGAATCAGCTTAGTCCCGTAGCCTGCAGCTAGAAATGCAGATGACAGTAAAAGAAGCACCCTAGCTCCAAAGGTAATTGGGCCAGACTGGCATTAACAAGAAGGTGGGGGTGATCGAATGGCAAGATCGCAAACACCGCCCCTATCAAATATCCCGAAATGCACATCTGAAAAAAAGTAGCGGGGGGGGGGATCAAAATCCTGCATCGTTGTTGTGACTCGTTCCTGCAAAGGCCTCGGTTTGCAGAGGGCTCACCTCAGGAGGCCCATCTGTATAGATTTCAAAGGGGCGCTGCAAGGGGAGGGACAAATTCTGATTCTCAACTCTGCAATCACCGGCACAAGCAAGCTACTGAATATTTAGGCAGCTTCTCCGCTTTTTTCCCCCTTTTCTTTTTGTCGTCTCATCGTTCGCAGTCGATTCCTGCCTGCTTCAATCCACCCATCCCCCTACCCGCACGCCGGCGCCGTCCACCAGCTGCTGCGAGCTGCAAGCAGCTCCGGTTAGCATTGGGCGCGGCGTCTTGGCCGGCCCGGCCGCTATGCTGACGTCGAGCGCGCACATATCCCATGATGCGGTTTCTTACGCCCCTTTTAGTCGCTCGCTCCCTCCGCCTCCACCAAAACAGGCCAGAGGTTCGGTGTCTAGAGGTAGGAAACCGAAGCGTCCGACCGTTTTCCTGCTTGGGCCGTTCTACATTTGAAGCAATAACTGCTTGGGCTCAAGGAGAGGCGGGAGCCCCGAGTAAACGGATCTCGCCATGGCCGCGTCCATGAAGCAGAGGTTCGACCATTTCTTGCATGAGAAGAACTGCCTGACCAACGTGCTGGGGAAAATCGAGAGTAAGACGGGCGTGAACAGGTCCTTGATCGCCATCGGTGAGTGTCCCTGCTGCCTCTGCATGGCCCGCGGCAGCAGGATGGATGCCGCCTCCCCGTACTCCCCCACCCCCGACAGCGCTCCATAAATCGAGGTTTCTCCGGAAAATCACACCAGCAAGGGCCTCCGGGAAGCTGCGAGTGCTGTCACGCGATAATGATTGTTAAGGGCGACGGGCGGGGGGGGGGGGGGGCCTCATGTTGCACCTGATATCTTTATGGGTTTATTGTATGGTACTTGCATCCCTCATTTCAACCCCAAAGATCCCGTTCCCCTAGTCTTCTCAGGATCCTAACTGAAATTATATACACAAAATGTATTTAAGTATTGATGCGTGCCCCGCTCTTTAAAGAAGCCAGAGGCGGCCGCTCTCCAAGATATGGAATATTCTGCAACCAGTCCTCCACCCTACCTAGTTGGCTGGTTCGTTTTCTCTTCCCTTGCACCTCTTGGAAATAATGCGGGTGCATGTTACCCCACCCCACGGCCAGGATCCTAACGAGCGGTGCCTGGGCGTTCTGGGCCTCCATGCCTACCTCTTCTGCCCTGAAGCTGGATCTGATCAAAGGCCCACTAGCCCTGCATTCCGTTTCCACAGTGGCGCATCGCATGTCTGCAGGAAGTGCTCAAGCCGGCCATGAGGGAAGTGGCACCCTCATGCCCGTGTTCCCCAGCAGCAAGCATGCTTATCAGGAAAGTAGATCGCCATCGTGACTAGTCATCCTCGACCTGGGCAGTGTTTCTTCCGAGGGTAGATGGAGGAGATGGTGCGGAGGCTCAGTCTCCCGGATTGAATGGCAAGCAGTAAATGGGCTGGCGGTCTCGGGTTACAAAAGGCTCGTTCCTTTTCTCCTCTTCCTCCTCCCAACCGCCCCACTTCTCCCCGCCTTTTCTAAGCTGCTAAGCCATGTTGCGAAGCTGCTAAGCCATGTTGCGAAACAATTGCCTTAGGATATGATTGTAACAAGCTCGTGAGAGGCTAGGAGAGGTGGTGGCAACCCAAGCTTGCTTCAGTGGCTTTGGGCTAATCCCCGGTGTTTGGGGGGAAAGTAAAAAAGCCGGGGAGGGGAAGAGTAAAAAGTTAGTTACTCCCACTACATGGTAATTGACTTGCTGACGTGTCTGGGCTGAACAGAAGTCTCCATTGGCCTCTCTGATCTGACATGTACCCCTTCAGTATCACAGGTTTGTTTGTTTTTTTTTTGCCCTGTCCTCCCCCGACTGGTGGTTTGAGACTTGCCAGTAAGCAAGGGGCAGGATGCGGGGCCAGAAATCTCTTTTGTTGTGGGAGACAGGGTTTGAGGTTGAGTGTTATGGAAGGAATTTCCCAGTTTCCTTCCCACTTCTGGGAAGAAAACACATCCAGCATTATATAACCAGGCACTGCTTTATGTTGTCTGCATCTCCTAGTAGGCCTCTCCTCCACATTGACTGATGATTGTACTTTTTCTCTTAGCCATTATTGCTGTGCTGGCCATCTATCTAGTGATTGGCTATGGAGCATCCCTGCTTTGCAACCTGATCGGATTTGCTTATCCTGCATATGTCTCGTAAGTATTCTGAAAACTGAGCCTCTTACTCCATGCTGGAGCGTCCTCTTAAAATAAATAATTTTGGAGCATGCTAGAGATGATATTATTTCTTATTTCCTTTTTTTCAAGTTGTCTGTGGGATTGCAAGTAGCTGCCAAGTCAGCATATCAAGCACTAGACTGTTGCTTAGGATTATTCCTAAGTAATGTTTGAACTTGCCAGGTTTCTTGCTGGATAAATTTCTGGCATCCTTAGACTTGCTTCAGCCTTACTTGACTGAATTTAGTGGTGGTGTTTTTGCACAAAGCTTCAAAGACACTGTAGGTTGAAAGTGAATAGAAGGTTCTCATGAAACTGTGGTGAGGGTGACTTGGTTAGAAATCTTTCCTTATATGTGTAACTTCAAAACTGCTTAAGGGTGTTTTAGTGAGTGTGTTGGCCTCCTGATAGTGCCAACAGCATCACATGGCTTGATCTAGCCATAGTTGAACACCTCTAAGTACCATTGATTTCAATAAGAGTTCAAAGAACTTGATTTTGTATTGTAATTATACTTTTAAAAATTTCCTTTTTAAAAAACTTCCACCCATATTGGACTCCTTTTTTCCTTAAGGTCACTTGCCATGGAACCTTACTTTGATTGTCCTGAGTTTATTAAAGTCAGCTTTCCCGAAATTCAGAGTACATGGATGGCTGTGCTCCATTTTCTCTTCCTTTAAAATCAGGAACTCAAGTAGGTTATGGTCAGTTTTCTCCAGAGTTCCTGTAACTTCTACTTCATCTACTAACTCATCCCAATTAGTCAGTATTAAGCTGAAGACTGCTGATCCTCTAGTTCCTACCATGACTTTCTACAGAGGAAAGTTACCTGCCATGCGTGTCAAGAATTTCTTGGAGGGAGCACTTTTGGCAGAATTTGCCTCCCAAAAGATATCTGGGTAATTGACTTCCTCCATTACTACCGCATCCTTGAAATACAGGCAATTTGCTTAACAAATGTTTCATCTTAGCTTCTTCTTGATTGGGTGGTCATTACTAGAGTCCAACTATCATGTCTGTTTTATTCTTTGACACACTTACTTGGACCCAGATGTTCTCAATGGTGTCAGCAGACTCACTTCTATTTTTGTGCAATAATAAGCATTTTAACATATAATGCAACTTACCTTCCTTTCCTGTTTCTTCTGCTCTTTTCAAACAAGTTGTACTCTTCAGTTGCTATATTCTAATCATGAGAGTCATCCCACAAGGTTTCAGTGATATCTATTAGGACGTATTTGCCTTCTTGTCTTAAAAGTTCAAGTTCATTCTGTTCGTTTCCTGTACTCTGGGCACTGAAGCCCATGTGTTTTATGGCCTATCTTCTTTCCTACATTATTGAGAAGACCATTTTGTGATGCTATTAGCACTCTTCTTTCTCTTATGATACATCATCCTTCATCCACTGTTGCCTCTACATTCATGTCTGTCTCTCCGGTAAGATTCAGCTTAAAGCCCTCCTGCTGAAATTCTTCATGTTGAGGCCATTCTTTCCAACTCTTGTGGAGTGCAGTCCATCCCTTGCCAACAGGCCCTCTTCCAAGTAGCCTGCTTGTGGTCCCAGAATCCAAAACTCTTATGTCAGCACCACCTTCATAGCCAGTTGTTCACCTGCAGTATTTTTTCCCAGTGCTATTCCTTTTTCAAGAACTGGGAGGATGGATAGGAACACTATCTGGGCCTCAAAGTTCTTGAATTTCTTCCCAGAGTTTCAAAATATGATGTGATTTCTTGGTAGCTCCATTTGGTGGTATCATTTGTGCTAATGTGGATTAGAAGAGGAGGATAGGTGTAGTGAGCTTTTTGAGGTTTGGCCATCTTTCAGTTACATCTCTAACCCAAGTTTCAAGGAAACAGCATGCCTGGTGAGTCCATGAGTCATTGCAACACACTTGGGTTTCAATCCCACAAAACATGCAATCTCCCACATTAGTACTCTTCTTTTTCCATTGTTAGCTGTCTTTCTGCATCCTACTTCCTGTTGCACAGGTTCCCTTGTAATTCATCCTCTACAGGCTGTCCCCTGAAAGTGGTTACTTAGCACTAGTGGCCAAAAGTGATTTCTTAGCAGTCGTGTTCAAAAAGGAGCAGTGAAAATGGGTGTCTGGGTGGGGGTAGCTGGAGACCCGATGACATGTGGAAAATGTTAGAGGGCACTAAGAACTGTTAGTTCAACACTTGAATTGCTGTTGCTGCAAACCACTCGGTGATTCTGCTTTTTTCTTTTTCAGTGGTGATATTCAATTGTCAGCTCAACAACTGAACATAAATTGGGCTATATGCAGTCTTACCTTATCTATTTCCATGTTTTACAAATTGCATATCAATGACAGGAGATTTTCAAAGAACAGCAACATTGTTGTTGCTAGTTGCGAAGTCACGTCTGACCCATCATGACCCCATGGACAACATTTCTCCAGGCCTTCCTTTCCTCCACCATCCCCCGGAGTCCACTCAAGCTCACACCAACTGCTTCAGTGACTCCATCTAGCCACCTCATTCTCTGCCGTCCCCTTCTTCTTTTGCCATCTATTGTTCCCAACATTAGGCTCTTCTCCAGGGAGTCCTTTCTTCTCATTAGGTGGCCAAAGTATTTGAGTTTCATCTTCAGTATCTGGCCTTCTAAAGAGCAGTCAGGGTTGGTCTCTTCTAGGACTGACTGGTTTCATCAACTTGCAGTCCAAGGGACTTGCAGGAGTCTTCTCCAGCACCACAGTTCAGAGGCCTCAATTCTTCGGCACGCAGCCTTCCTTATGGTCCAGCTTTCACAGCCATACATTGCAACTAGGAAAACCATAGCCTTGACTATATGCACTTTTGTCGGCAGGGTGATGTCTCTGCTTTTTAGTATGCTGTCTAAATTTGCCATAGCTTTCCTCCCAAGGAGCAAGTGTCTTTTAATTTCTTGGCTGCAGTCCCCATCTGCAGTGATCTTGGAGCCCAGGAAAATAAAATCTGTCACTACCTCCATTTCTTCCCCATCTATTTGCCAGGAAGTGATAGGACCGGATGCCATGGTCTTAGTTTTCTTAATGTTGAGTTTCAAGCCAACTTTTGTGCTCTCCTCCTTCACCCACATCAAGAGGCTCTTCAGTTCCTCTTCACTTTCTGCCATTAGAGTGGTATCATCTGCATATTTGAGGTTGTTGATATTTCTCCAGGCAATCTTAATTCCATTTTCCAACTAGGCAAGACTAAATAACTTGCACACACTAAATAACACCAACAAAATAAATGATATATCATGAATTAAAAATGGTGAACCAGAGACAACTGCTCCAAAGTGGAGTGTGTGTCACTGGCAGCAGCACAAGCAAAATAATGAAGAGTGGCAATGAAGCAAAATAATGAAGAATGGTTAGGGGTTTTAGCCACTCTTAGTGGCCTGCTGGCTGCTCTCTTCAATCCACAATGAAATCAGTCTCTTGGTTCACACAAAACAACAATCCATTGCAGGTTGAACAATGTGTAGAACAAGTCCTAGCTTTCCAAGGTGTCTTCTTGCCCCAAAATAAGCCACCCTGTAAGAAGTTTGAGTTCCAATGACATAGCAACCTGACATGGCTAGTTACATGCAATCAGTTGTCATGTCACGCAAGCCCAGTTCATATCTTTATTCAGTATGCTCTGTGTCACACATGCATGTTCATCACATAACAGCTTACCAAGTATTCATTCAGCTCTAACAGGGAGCCTCTTTGGTACAATAGTTAGTGTATTGGACTGAGTTCTACCCTCCATTTGGCCATGAAGCTCACTGAATAACTTTTGGGAAGGCACTAACTCTTTGATGGTTGTGAGAAGAGGACAACCATGTAAACTATCTTGAATTTCTTGAAAGAACAGAAATAACACAATATGAATGTAATAATAATCACAAAGGTTTACATGATCACTGGAGAAAAGTAGCTTCTACCCTCTGTTCCTGTGACAGTTGGTTGCATGCCACATGATTTTCTAGTTACCCTTATGGAGTTCAGGCTGTTGTGTCATTTGAACCTGGTGAGATATGCATCAGGGCGGCTTCCAAACTACTTCAGAAGCCATAAGTTGTTGTAGGGTTCTGGGTTGACTTAGATGCCCCCTGCCCACCATGCACATCACCAGGTTTGGACAATGCAGCAGCCCATATGCTATGAAAGTGACCAGGCGAAGTGCGCATGCACAGCCAGCCCATGCAGGAACAGTAAAGAATCAACCTGTGGCCTGTTATCGCTGGTGGCTGCACATACCCAGCCATTGCCTCAAAGGCAGTGCTTCTCAGTTTAGTCAATTCAGCTGCCAACAATCAGGCAATAGCCATTCATGTGTAATCCATTCCTATTTATGCCTTCCCAGAACTACAGCTCTCTGTCACGCTAATGACTAAGTGTAGTCATTTCTTAACACAGGGTTAGACAACTTAGGACACCTCAGATGTTTTGGTTACATTCCCATCAGTACTAACTAGCATAGCTATAGACGAGTGATGCTTGGAGTTGTAAGCCAAAGCATCCAGAAGACCACAAGTTGTCAATTCCTCTCTTAGCATATTTAGGTTAGCAACATGTTTCTTTCTCTTTTCCTCTTCTCAGTGGCCAGTGTAGTATTCTTTCCATGTGACATTGTATACTATCAATACTTCAAAAGCTTTTCCCATTATGTGTTGTTGTAATTCTGCCATTTTAAATTGTTTCCATGAAAACTGACTTGTATGTAATCCAGAAATTATGGCACTGGATCAAATTAATAAAGTAGTTGCAATTTTTTTTATGAACAGTGAGAAATACATCCTTGTGTAAAAGGATTGCACAGTGTCTATACTCACACACAAGCCCATTGGATTCAGTTGTGATTCTGAAATCACAACAAATAAATACATTGAGTTAAGATAGATACAATAATGCATTTTTGTAAGAGCTTCTGTGCATGTAAAAACCTTCCGTGTCCAGTTTAAATGGGTGTTTCCTAGACCAACATGTTTTTAAAACAGTTTTGGT